TCCTACTGGTCAATATTGTACAATGTTATTTTCTATTTTATGGTATGTTGTGGTCTGATTGATTGGTATATAAACAAAGTACGTTTGAAATATAATGATTCATATATCCGAGGCTGTGACTTGCGTTCTGGACTCAACTGCTGGGCTAGATAGGGAAGCGGGACCAATCAGAACCCTAGGTCGTTCTACGTGTTCGCGCGTCTTTGGTCCGATCGATAATTCGCTACCCCTCTAATCTGCCGCGTCACAGTTATAACACTGCAATAACTTATATTCACATAACAATCTTATTATTATTATCTCAATTGACAAGATAAAATTCACCTACTATGCATTTTATTCACACAATTTGTTTTGCATTTACATTTTCGCTATAATACTTTTCTACTGATCGGAACTGAACACTTTACTCCAAATCATCTTGACCTTTATTGAATGACCTTTCTCATTTGCAAATAAAACAATTTTGAAGTATAGATATATGTAGTAACAGATGCAAACGTTCACCATTCATAATACATAACATTGTTAAATTCATTAATACATGCCTTATTTTTGGCCTTTATAAAAGATCACAAATATTTATGGACTTATAACTGTAGAGCTTGATGATGAAGTTAATGCAGAAACAATTATTCGCTCAAATATTCTTCATTTTTGAATAGTTTATGGGGATTTTTAAACTACACAAATGAATATATTTGTTTTTGGTGGAGTTTTGTTCTCTGATCTGGATGGTTTGGTAGTGGAGCATTCATCGTTCTTCTGAACGACATCATCAGCACAAACTTCAAATAGAAGTGAAGTGTTTGAATTTCTCCGTATGTGTTTGAAAGCTTGTTCTGTGCACCTCGATGTTAATTGGTTCTTATTGACCTTAAATACGTCATTGTTTACTTCTTTGTTTTGGTTGTGTCTCCCATTGTTTTGATATTTGTTCTAATGTTTGTGCATGATTTTTCTGATTGGTTAATAAATTGGATTGATTTCAATATGCTTGTTGATTGACCTGAGTACCAGGCTTCTAAAAATTCTCTGTTGTTTTTGGAGTTTCCTCTAAGATTTCCACATTTTTCCAATCGAATGAGTGTCTGCAGTTGTCCACGTGTATTGATATAAGTGAGGAGATATCATGGCGTTTGACTGCTAATTGATGTTCATGTAGGCGCAGGTGAAGGGGGCGTCCGCTTTGTCCGATGTAGTGTTTTTCGCAGTTGTCACAATATATTTTGTAGATGATGTTTGATTTGTTTTCCTTTGTTACTTCATCTTTTGGCTTGCATAAGATTGATTGTAGTGATTTTGTTGGTTTGTGTGCCACACCTATTCTGAAGGTTTTCAGCAATCTTGTACAATTTAGTTACCAGGGTGGAACTTGTAAATTTTAATATTTAGGTGTGATTATGTTTATTTATAATAAATCAAACAATTTTTTTTTCATTTTTTAAAAATGTTCAATATGTTTTTCCATGAAATACATTAAAGTGTATTCATTTCTTTGTAATAAAGATGACCTTTTAAGATGATGGAAGATTTATAGCTCAGCTGAATGATTTGAATAGAGTTTTGTTCTTTGAATTAGATAGTCATTTGGTCGTAAAGCTTCAAGTTGAAGCTTGTGCTGATGATCTCATTCAGAAGAATGATGAATGCTCTACAATTAAACCATCCAGTTCAGAGAACAAAACTTCATTAAAACATCATGTTAGTTTTTTGTTTACCAGTGACATTGGTTAAAAAAACGCCCTTCATATGTATAAACAAAGTTAATTAACAAATGAATACAGTTTTATCATAGTAACTCTAAGTTAAAACTGGGTTAATATTATTACTCTCTACTGTATTATTTCACAAACATTACTAAACAAGTTAAGCAAAGATGGATAGTGGCTAAAAGTGGAATTCAGGACGCGCGTTTCGTCCTATGCGGGACTCATCAGCTGGATGTACCTGCATCACAGAGTTGATTTTCACTCCGTGACTAACAAATAGGAATCGGCTTTCTCGGTCATGTTAGAGCATTTCGAAAAGGTGAACGAACTCTCTCTACCCTCAGCCGTACCATGTCGTTTGGTAGCCAGTTGTTATGTACAGAGAATAAGATCTAAAAGAAATCTTATTGTCGTTTAACTCAGTTGCGAAAGAACTTCCAATATCTACTTCAATTAGATCTACCATGCAGTGAAATAGTTTAGATAACATACTGAATAAGTTTGGTACTCTATGATTATATAAAAATTTCATTACATTTTTTATCATATCAACTCAACATGTTGTTTAGTTCAGTCGAGAAATGATGATGACGACTATGATGATCGATTAAAAACTTAACTTTTAACTATTCAGTGATTTTATTCATCACTCAGCTTCTGAGTTTCCGAAATTCTAGCCTAGTTGTATGCTTTAACCAATCAGAACTATATTTACACTTGTCGGAATGTATTTAGATCTGGATAACTTAACTGTTGCTGACTATAACTGATTAGTGAACTTGAAAAATATGACTCAAAAGACTTAATCTATATGAATGAGTTAAAATTGTGGTTTTACTTGAAATCAATTGTAATACCCTGTTGTTCATAAGATACAGAAAATATTTTATCCTCAGACATTTAATGCAAATTTATTGTGGTGTGTGCTACTTATATCTACATAAGTAGTAAGAATATAATATCCGGCAGCAGAAGATTGAGAAGATCAAGAAGGAAAGAGCGAGAACAAAAAGCAATTGATATAACAATGCAGGAATAGTGAAGAATGAGACGATTGACTGATATTCGCAAAAGGAACAGTTAAGTTTGAGAAAATGGTTCTCAGTTTTTTCCTAAAATATTCTGTAATTTCTTATTGAAATACATTCAATTTTTTCCATTTGTGTTCTCGTTGACTATAATATAACAGCTAGAAAAAAGTATTTTATTCCACAGGAAATTCATAGTAGACTAATTAAGATGTTTTGGAACTTTCAGAATTAAAGAAGGCGGTTGTTCTTTATCCTTAACTAACTATGATATAACAGCTTCAACTATCAAGTATGATATAATATTGATTATTACCCAATATTGCATAACAACCTGATATATATATATATATATATATATATATATATATATATATATATATATATATATATATATATATATATATATATATATATATTGCACAGGGCGGCCGTTTCCTCGTATTGTGGGACTCCTTAAAATTGTGCATAAACGATCCCGATTCGAAGTCAGGACCGGCTCAGTGATCTAGTGGTTAAATGCTGTGTTCGAATCTTGCGAAACGGGATTGTGGATGAGCACGAATGAGGAGTCCCATAGTAGGATGAAACAACCAACCAGTGCTTCCAGGTTTTCCAATTGACTCATGATCTCAACTAATGAAATTACTGTCCTATCCAGATAAACCCTTTTCTGATTATTTAATTCCGTTATTCACCAACGCAATTTAAGTCGATATTAATATACGAGGATAGCGGATATATATATTTCAATAGCAATCAGAAACGATCAAATTGGAGTTCAGATATATAGAGCCCTACAAATATCATTAACTCGTCGATAACATTGTACAATCTAATTGGAGTCACATGACGAGCCACTAAAAAAAATAGACTCAAATCTACACCTTCATTTGTAGACAATTACAAGTTTCTTAAATAAAAACAAAAGTCATAAAAAAAAGTATTCTGATTTCATAGTAGTATTACACCAATCAACTAGTTTTCAAGTCTATCACTTCAACTACCTTTCATATTGTTCATCATTAATCACTTACTTACTAACGCCTGTTACTCTCAATGGAGTATAGGTATATTGTCATCATACATCAAAACATTATTGAAAGTAATCCAAATGTATATACATAGATTGCGAAGACATTTGATTGGTGTATTGTATCTAACGGATTATATATATATAAACATAAGCTACTAGTAAAAGTGATGAAACAATAATGTTTATTCATTCATATATCATATTATTACTATTAGTTTTATTATGTAATATAGTGAATAATTCATCATTCTGTGGTTCTATTTCTCCTTTGAATATTGTAAAACTATTTTTTTTTCTTTTTAACTTAACATGTTGATTTGATATTTAGGAGCATGGATTACCTATTCATCGTGATAAAATGGATAAACGAAACATGCATCCTCAAAGATTAACGTTCTATCCATATTTCACTGAAAGTTTTCATAGATTGCAGTACTCTGTCAAACTTTTCGTACGTATTATTATATAAAGTTTTACTTGTATAATTGTGTAAAATAGAAACTATGTTATACCATATATATATGTATGTTTTGATAGAGTTTTGTTCTTTGAGCTGGATGGTTTGATCGTGGAGCTTTCATCGTTCTACTGAACAGCATCATCAGCATAAACGTCAGGTAGAAGTGAAATGTTCGAATTTCTCCACATGTGGTTTACTGCTTGTTCTGTACACCTTGATGTTGATTGGCTTTTGTTGACCTTAAACCTGTCATCGTTAACTTTTTTCTTTTGGTTGTATCTTCCATTGGTTTGCTTTTTGTTCATAGCATGTGGAGAAATTTGAACACATCACTTCTACCTGAAGGTTGTTCTGATGATGTCGTTCAGAAGAACAATGGAAGCTCCATGACCAAACCATCCAGCTTAGAGAACAAAACTTCATCGAAATCATTTACCTGAGCTAAAAATCGTCTCCGCCATCTAATCATATAGATTTTTCAGATTATTTTATTTCATGAAATATAATTTATGGAAGACATTTGAGTGACGCTAAAGTAACCATGAGAGCGCTCATCTATTAACTAGAACCAAATGATAGTTATAGACCAGTGTGAGGAATTAGATTTATGCTTTTCATCACAAACTAACATCACTGATAATACCAAAACTCTTTTAAGCCGAGTGGATGAATGAATTTTACGACAAAATCCGAGACCATTATCTTATACCTGATTCGTTTGTCTATAAATTGTAGTCTCGCCTTTTTTAATCAATCTTTTACAGGAATTCGCACATCAGGCAATGCAATTTTGGCAAGAAGCATTAACAGTTAAAAGACCAGAAAAAACTAATCAACTTGCTCAAAGGTATCATTTGAATAATTAATTTTCAATTTTTCGATTATTATCATTGTGGTATTGTGAAGATTAATAAATTTTTAATTGAGATTATGAATTGATTGATGATAGATCATCAGTGAAAACCTGCAAGTACTAGATGGCCGTTTCGTCTAAATATAGGACACTTCAGCAGTACAATCTACGGTCCCGCTCATGGGATTCGAACCCAGGACCTTCAGTCTCGCGCGTGAATGCTAAACTTCTAGAATACCAGCCGGCATCCAACGGTTTTAATGTCTAATTTCAACTAATCCACGAAATTGCGCGAACATTTTCTATTGTTCTGAGGTAGATACCTGTCTCTACCCGACACGAACTAGTTCCTCTGGTCTTGGCTTTTTACTAGAACATCAAGAATTCCCTCACGGAGCTAGTTACCATTGACCTATCAAAATGTTTTAGTTTTAAACTACAACAATGGTTAAATGTTACATTTTAAAAATAAATTTTTTTCCTGAATATCTAGATATTGTGAAAGTTCCAATAATTACTTTACTTATCCAACGGATTCTGTTTGTACTAATTCACGATGCCAAATTCAAGCAAAATGTGGTCATGTCGATGTCCCAAATGAATATTCATCTGTGAGTATATTACTTAAATGTTCTATTTATATGAATGTTGTAAATCATACATTTACAAGTTTATTTCAATAAACATTGTTAAGATTTATGCCGATTTTTAAATTTCACAGACAACTAATAATAGTTCGTTGAAATCTTTAAAGAAGATTTTCACAATATTTTAATGCATGTAGTTTACTTTAGCTAAAAATGAATAATTGAATGTAAACGATGAAGAATTTCAGTCTTTCTAATACTTACTTACTTACTTACGCCTGTTATTCCTAGTAAGCATAGGCCACCGATTAGAAATCTTCAACCCAATCGGTCCTTGACCTTCCTTTCTACTCCTATCCAATTCTTGTTCATTCTTCCTATGTATGTCTCCATTTCTCAATGTAACTTGTTCTTTGATCTTTCTCTTCTCCTTTGATCTTGAGGATTCCAAGTGTGGGTTTCTCTTGTGGCGTAGTTGGTTTTTTTTTTTCAACGTGTGTCCTATCCACTTCCAACACTTCTTTCTGATCTCTTCCCCCACTGGAATGTGGTTTGTTCTTTCCCACAGTATTTTGTTGTTGATAGTGTTTGGTCAACGGATCCGAAGTATTTTGCGAAGACAACTATTAATAAACACCTGTATCTTCTAGATGATTGGTCTCGTACTTCTCCAAGTTTCCACCCTATACATTAGAACTGTGTTGACATTTGTATTGAAAATCCTGACTTTGGTGTTTGTTAACAGTTATTCTGACTTGTAGATGTTCTTCAGTTGTAGATATACTGCTCTTGTTTTGCCGATCCATGTCTTTTTAATAACTATCAATCAAAAAATATGTTTAGAAGTGTACGACTTCTGTTAATAAATCTACTCGATTGAAACGTACTGTTTATAGATTGTCTATAATGAAATATTGTTATAAAGGTAAATCTAAGATGTTCTTCTATTTTGAGTAATCAAAATGAATTATTGAGAGTCTAAAAGACATAAAGACATATTTTGGTGGAGTTTTGTTCTCTGAGCTGGATGGTTTTGGTCGTGTGCATCCGTTATCATTAGGTGTACCATTTTTCTTCCACTTTGCTCAGCTATTTTCCATCCTAATGGGCAGTTGATTGGAGGTCTATATCTTACACTTGTTGGTAGAACATGCTGGCGAAGACACTCATGGAGAAAATATAGTTGTTCTCGAGTGGAAGCCTGCCTTTTGGCGACGACGACCAAACCATCCAGCTCAGAGAACAAAACTCCATCAAAATCATCCACCTGAGCTACAAATCTTCTCCACCACATAAAGACATAATTACACCTTTATCTAAAACTATCAAAAGCCTGTTCATTCATTATTTTGGCGTAAAGATTGTTCACTTTTATTCCCCATTTAATTATTTACTCGGTTCATTATATTCTCTGTTGTAATTATACATTCCATTAATTTATGGACAGTCTTTGAGTGAAACTAAAGTGACTTTTGGAGTGTTCATCTAATAACTAGAACCAAATGAGGGTTATAAACCTGTGTAAGGAATCGCAATTATGATTTACATTTGATAGTTAAGGTTAGAAACTAGATTTATGGTTTTCATTACGAACTGACATCAGTGATAATGTCAAAATGTTATTAAGTCAAATGAATGAATGAATTTCGCATCAAAATCCGAGACATTTTTGCCTTATAACTAAGCGATTTGTTCATAAATTATAGTCTTACCGGATCTATTTCTTGTCTTGTGTTAAAATTTATTCAGCATGAATATATAGAAATATAATTATTACATTAAATAAAATGTATGTACATTTCATGTATCCAATATATACTACTTAAATTATTCATGTGAATATTCTTATTTATCAGGAATGTTCAGAAAAGCACAATGGAAGGTTGCATAGACTATACACTAATGGGAGTGGAATTCCATCTGCCGGTTATGTCGTACTTTTTGACGGTTATCAAACAAGAAGCTGTAACGGCAGCGTAGCAGCTCATGCTGGATCTTGTGTAATGGATCTAGATACAGATAGGTAATTACTTTGATATTTTTAATTTTATAGAAAACATATAAAAAAAAGTGATTTTGATAAAATTTTTGTCTGTAAACTGATATTGTGGTGTGTGCAACATAAGTAGTATATAAACAGAATCAGGAATAGAATGTCTGTCAGTAGAAGATTGAGATGATCAAGAAGGAAAGAGCGAGAACAAAAAGCAATTGATATAACAATGCAGGAATAGTGAAGAATGAGACGATTGACTGATATTCGCAAAAGGAACAGTTAAGTTTGAGAAAATTGATTGATATTTTACAAATGAAGTATTTACTATATGGTTTTCAGTATTTTCCTGAGATGTTCTATAATTCCTTGTTGAAATACATTCGATTTTTTTCAGTTGTGTTCTCTTTCACCACAGTACTTCTGTTATTTTATCATTGATTTCACATTTTTGTTGATGATAAATCTTGCACATTGAACGCTATATTTGTTCTATAAGTTATTCTGTAACCTCCTAGCTAGAACTATACAGCGACCTGAAAAAACGAGAGAGCAGAAGCAAAGTACACGAGAAGTGCTTTACTCCAAGCTTCGTTTCAATACAGAAAATACAGGGTTTTTATGATATTTTAAATGTCCTTAGGTTGCTAGAAGGTTCTGGAATGTTACTAAACATTGTAGCAGTGTTGCTATCAGTCAATCCGAATCTCTGCATCTGATGTTTCGCTCCCCTTGATATTTCTGGTTAAAACCTCAAGTGAACGCTGATTAGAGGAACGCTTCTTGATGTTTTCCTGATCCTTGCTTGACCTTAACGAGAAATTTTCTGTGTCACCCCAACAGTTGAACCGAAAGTTTTTTACCCCTAAACGTTTTAAGGAATTATTCTACATATATTTTCGCCAAATATGAACTAATTTTGTATTATCAAGGTACTAATATGATGAAAACGGTGACTTTCATACATTTCAAAGTCTTTTTGAAAGGAAATATTGAAGAATGAATCATTTCTTTAACTCTTTGATGTCATCAGGTAGAATTTAAAGCCAAATTTAAAACTATCTACATTACAAGTTGGTTACAAATGAAAACTAAAGAAAACTATTATTGAAACCAATTAGAAAGATTGATTGTGTTACAGATTTTGATGGAGTTAGATGGTTTGGTTGTAGAGCTTTCATCGTCCTTCAGAACGATATCATCAGCATAAACTTCAGATAGAACTGTTACAGATCATTTGTGTGAAGGTTAATAGTAAATTCTATCTGTCGATTAGTACAAATCATTAATACCATATACCCTTCATAGTAAACTTGACGTTAGACAGAAAAAACATTAATATGTTCTTTTAATTATGAATATCAATGATTTTGAAATGCTTGTACTGAAAGTTAGTTAATCCAAACTACCCATATTTGATTTTCTAATACTCAGTTTTTTGACAGTTGAATTCTTAAAGTCTATCTAAGCTAGATTACCATTGAAAACCTGGAAACACTGGAAGACCGTTTCGTCCTAGTAGAAATCTAAACAAAAATGAAATAATAACATAAACAAATTCACTTGATGTTGTTTTACTTGTATCTTCCCACTGTTGTGTACGACTGTAATTGATCAGTCTCATACTGGCATATGTTTATCCTATGCGGATTGCCTCGATATTGCTTTAAGTCATGAGTATTATAAGTAAAGATGGATCTTTGTTCCCGACTGAACATCAACTCTGAGATAAAGGTACATTCAACTGATGAGTGCCAAATAGGACGAAACACGCTTACTGGATTCTTCTACTAGCCACTATTCATTTTTACTTAATAACATAATCAATTTTTAAATAAAATTTTAAGAGAAATTATATTGGTATTTGTTTATATTGTAGACCAATTCTTGGATATGTTAATGTATGTCCTGGTAAACTGAAAATTAAATATCCTCAGAATAGATATTCACTTGGAATTTTCATCCATGAAATTGCTCATGCACTTGTAAGTTTATCTATTCTCTTAATAACCTGTATTTGAAATGAACACTATTAATGTATTACATCATCTTGGTTGAAGTTCGTTTACAAGCTTTATTTATTCCGAACATTCGTTTACTTAATATTATAATCAAAGAGTGGTTTTGTGGTCATTATAGTAATTCAAAAGTTGAATTTATGATTCGATTGAAACTAGACCAACATGGAAAATCTGGAAACACTGGACTACTGTTTTGTTCTATTGTGAAACTCCTCTCCAGTGTGCATCCACGATCTCACCTTATGAGATACGAATCCAAGACCTATAGGTCTCATGCGCGAACGCCCAATCTCTAGGCCACTGGGTTGGTATCCAACAGGGTTAATGTCTAACTTCAACCAATCCAGTGACCAGCAGAGTGTAACCACGTCTGTTGTTAGATAGTAAGTCATTGATGACAATGGTGGACGGTGATCCGACTTTGTTGATCAGTGGTTTAGATGTTAAGCGTTTGCGCGCGTAACTGGTAGGTCCTGGGTTCGAGTATCGTGAGGCGGGATTGTGGGTACGCACTACTGAGGAGTCCCGCAATGCGATGAAACGGTTATCCAGTTCATCTAGATTTTCCATGGTCGTTCAGCTTTAATGGACTCATGAATTCAACTATTAAATAAGTTTAGTTCATGAACTGAAATAATTCCAATTTTATGGAAACTGATATTCAGATATTTAATATAATGATATATCATGTGAAGAGTCGATAGTTATCCTAAAACAATGTAGTTTTCAGACATAAAGATTGAATAAATTTAAGGTAAATGGGTAGTTACAAAGATTTGATTAAGTTGAGAATTAGCTACCATTGATCAATTCACTGATTCATTCATTATTAGATCTATATTTTGACATCAATGATATACGTTTCTCACATTTGAGATTGTGTATTCGCCAAAAAGAAAAAAAATAGACCATTTCCTCTTTTGTTTTTAGGGATTCTCGTCATCTAGTTTTGCATTTATGCGCTTTTCTAATGGAACTGAACGAACTCCCAGAGATCATTGGCACAAACCGATTCACAGGGATAAACAAGGTTATTATATACCAAGGTAATTATTTCTAATAAATATGTACTAGATAATTAAGATTAAAGGTAAATCTATTGACTGACTTCAAGAGATACTCCTGGAGTTCTAGTGAGAAGTCGTTACCGTTGGAGTTCAACCAGGTCTGTTGTGAGATAGGAACTCACTGAAGATAATGGTGTACGGTGGCTCTACTTCGTGTATTGGTTGAAGTTAGACATTAACACAGTTGGATGCAGGCTCAGTGGTCTAGTTGATTAAGCGACTGGCGCAATACTGATAGGTCCTGGGTTCGAACCCCGTGGAGGGCGGGATTGTGGATGCGCACTGCTGAGGGGTCACATACTAAGACAAAACGGCCGTCCTGTGCTTCCAGGTTTCCCATGGTGGTCTAGCTTTAATTGCCTCATGATTTCAACCAGTGAAATTTCCAAAATCTTCACAAAACCTATTCTGGTAAAAAATATAAAAAAATTAACGAAGGAAAATTTCTATTTGGCGAAATCATTTACTTAAGTTGTGCATTTGTGTTTATACTTGAATGGTAAATATATGAGTCTATAGAAGGATAGAAAGGATTACATCATAGAATGAGTTGAGACTACAGTTCAGTTATTAATATAACCTTCATGTTTTTCGTTTTTCCCCTCAGATCTGTCACGTGGACAATTCTAACCCGTAAATTAGTTTCATTCATGTATTCTTCCCCCCCCCCACCTCGTGATTATTACTCAACCTCATTAGATATTTATAGTCTGGATTCCCTTTATGATGTAATTTTTTTTTCTATCCTTTTATGGACATATATTTACCATACAACAATAAATATCAATGTACATCTTAAGTAAATGATGTCATGGAAATAAAAGTTTACTTCGTTGAGTTTGTTACAGAATACTTATAAGATTATATCTAAACTTATTATATTATTTGATTTGATGATCATTTTCATTGAAACTTCTAGTACTTTACAATTTCTGAAAAATGAAATGAAGTTGAAACAACTTACTAACTTGCTTACTTACTTACGACGCCGACCAGCATTCTCTATCATCGGCCTTCCTTTCTAGTTCTATCATCCAATAATTTATATTGGGCATAGTTCAAATCAAGCAACTAATAAGTAAACTATGGGGATGGTAGGTTTGATGAATTACTTAATATAGTTTTATAAGCAAATATATAAGAAATTTCATAGGTTGAAATCATGAGTCAATTGAAGCTAGACCACCTTGGAAAACCTGGAAGAACTGGTCGGCCGTTTTGTCCTAGTATGGGACTCCTCAGCAGTGCATTAAAGTGATTCATCAAGCTTTTTAAATAACATTTAATCAATTTCGCCTGTCATATGCCATTGATAAATATACAACCTTATCTAACGGCAAGGATACTATAAGTTGGATGACGGTTTTCACCTTTTAGATTTTGTGCCTTAATTAAACATATTAGGAATGGTCCTACAAGAGGAGTAAAAGGCGTAAGTAAGTAAATAAAGGAATGGTAATATCCACACTCCACTAGTTTTATTTTTCAAATAACTATGACCATGAGATTGTTTAGTATTGCCTTATAAATTGCCTTTAATTACAAGTATACTTACTTACATACATACCAACATACATATATACATACTTACTCTCTTACTTAATGGCTATTTTTAACTTATCTAAATGATGAGTCAGTTGAGGCTAGACCACCATTGAAAACTTGGAAGCACTGAACGGCCGTTTCGTCCTAGTATGGGACTCCTCATCAGTGAGTGCCGGCTGAGTGGTCTGATGGTTAAGTGCTCGCGCGCGAAGCCAGTAGGTCCTGGGTTCGAGCCCCGCGTGATGCGGGATCTTGGATGCGCACTGTTGAGGAGTTCCATACTAGGACGAAACGGCCATCCAGTGCTTCCAGGTTTTCCATGGTAGTCTAGCTTCAACTGACACATGATTTCAATCCGTGAAAATTTCTAAAATCTCCACAAACCCTTTCTGATAATTATCTAAATGAATCAAATATATTTTTCCCTTAGCGACAATACAATGATTAAAATTAAAAGGGAATGGGAAAGTGCGGAAGGAATGTTTACAAAGGAATTTTACTCATTCATTACACCTGCCGTCTTGGTAAGTCGACATATATGTTTTACATTTTTTAAAATATTTCTCTTAACAACAAGAAATAGTTTCAAAGATACATAAATATTGATCCATTTGTCAATACAGTCTATGGATATATTAGATATCGGAACGACAAACAGATAACTTACTTAATTACTTACATACTTACTTAGGCCACCGTTTACAATTCTCCAAAACAATCTGTTCTCGACTTTTCTTTCTACTTCTATTCAATCCTTGTTCATTCTTTTCATATCTGTCTCCATTTACATACTACTTATGTCCATATAAGTAGCTCACATCACACAACTAAAACTTTCTGACAATAAAATTATATTCACGAGTAATATGTAACAATGAAATTCAGGAATAACATAATGTCCATTTTGAGATACATAGGATGGACGTACTTAAAATAAGACTAAAATGTGCATTATTCATTGGTCTAATTGTTTATGACAGATACATAGTTTTTCGATAGATATATCATGTTCTTATTACTTTTACGAATGCACGCAATCCTGACAAAGATTGCTCGATTGTACATCTTAATGTTAACTTACTGTATTGATTAACACAATAATAATGTTTAATGTAAGTATTTTAATCCGCTGTCGTTCTATAGTAGAGTATCATCTAAATAACTGATTCAAAGTTATATAATCTTAATAAAGAGAATTCAGTGAAAAACATTTTCTTTCTGACGAAATCATTTAACTTAAGCTGTACAATCGTATTTATAATTATTGTGGAAAATATATGAGTCTATAGAATGATAGAAATGATCACATCATAAATTGATTCGAAATTTTTTCTTCTGGTGATCGAATGGATTATGAAGACCTCGAAATCTGAGGGAAAACACGGAATACGATGGACAGCTCAGAATCTATTAGACGATTTGGACTTCACAGATGACGTATCCCTCCTATCGCATACACATGAACAAATGCAGATAAAGACAGCCAGTGTAGCAGCAGTCTCTGCATCAGTAGGCCTCAGCATACACAAATGGAAAACCAAGGTCCTCAAATTCAAAGCGGAAAACAGCAATCCAACCACTCTTGATGGTAAAACTCTGGAAGATGCAGAATCCTTCATATACCTGGGAAGCATCATCGATGAACAAGGAGGCTCAGATGCAGACGTAAAGGCAAGGATTACCAAATCAAATGTCGCATTCCTATAATTGAAGAACATATGGAACTCAAAACAACTTTCAACCAATATCAAAGTGAGAATCTTCAATACCAACGTCAAGGCGGTTCTACTGTATGGAGCTGAAACTTGGGGAACTACAACATCCACCATCAAGAAGGTACAAGTAAATAGGTGTCTTCGCAAGGTACTCAACATCCATTGTCCGGATACCATCAGCAACAGCCTTCTCTGGGAGAGAACAAATCAGCTCCCAGCTGGAGAGGAAATTAATAAAAGACGATGGAAATGGATAGGGCATATATTACGCAAATCATCGAACTGCATTACGAGATAAGCCCTAACTTGGAATCCTGAAGGGAAGCGGAAAAGTGGAAGGCCTAAAAACACATTACGTCGGGAAATAGAAGCAGATATGAAAAGGATGAATAGTAACTGGAAGGAGCTGGAAAGGGTTGTCCAGTACAGGGTTGGATGGAGAATGCTAGTGAGCGGCCTATGCTCCTTCACGAGGAATAACAGGCGTAAGTAAGTAATAAGTAAGATGAGGTTACATACTAATTGAGGGGTAATCGAAGAGTATAATTCTGGATTCTCTTTACTTTTTATTCAATGACATAATGGATTATTTTAATTATATAATTTATTGAAATAACAATTGACCTTGAGTTATATTCTAATATTCGAGTATATGTTGTTGTGTGTTGCTGTAACTTTAAGCCTGACTAACTATCATGTGATTTATTCGCCAATCGAGATACGTTTTATTCAATCTTAATACTCTACCATATCCATGATGTTCGACCAGTATGAATAGTCTAACGTTTTTATTCATCCTTTGTTCTCTTAACCTTTCCAGTTGATTCGAAACATTAATAACAGCTTCTACTACGCAAATTATTTATTTTAAACATACTTGGTTTATATATCAGCCAAATAGTTCATATCACATTATAAAATAGGAAATAACATTTGTATAAGATTTAACCAAAAGTGGCTGTGAATGTAAGAGACAGTAATCAATAAATTGGACCGTATAATAATAATAATAATAAAAATCTCTAGATGAACATAAAGCTTATGATAAGAGGAATATAGATATACACAATCTAGTTGCTGAATGGTTATACAGTAAGAATATATGTATAATATATTGTCTATAGAGAGTTCTCAGAAGTTACCCCTAATTTAATCTTCATTAGGATATCACAATGAGTTATTTAAAGTTATTTTAATGTTACTAAACAATATGAATATTATATACATACTATTTAGGGAGCTGCGAAAAAGCATTTGAAATGTTCAAGTTTAGATGGAGTTGATATAGAAAATCAAAAACATCGTGGACCAATTGGTTCTCATTGGGAAGGGAAAACATACGGAGTAAGTTTAAACACAATTTATAATAGAATACTGTAGAAAACTGTAGTAAAAAATATTTATTACGAAATAAGCTTTATGGATTCGAATAGAGGATCTTTGGTCTTGTACGCCAATGCTCGAATCCAGCGATCGTAGATATATGCTGCTGAGTCGCACAATAGAACGATATAGCTGTTTAGTGCTTTCAGGTTTTTAAGGGCGATCTAACATCAATCGGTTCATCATCTCAATCAAAAGAGTATATTTTATAAGATACTTTTAAAGATTTTTCTATAATGGTATTTCTACTGGTATTTAGTTTTCATAACTAACTGGTATTTATTACAAAATAAACAGAATTATGAACATTGGTTTCTTGACGATTCATGATCTAGTTTATATCACTTGTTTAAATAATTTTCATGATTTTATAAGCTAAGATGAATGTTGACTAGCAGTGTGATCCAGGATGTACGTTTCATCTTATTTGGCACTCGTCAGCTGAATGCACCTGCATTCTAGAATTGATTTTCACTTCGGAAATTATAAAACTGGTAACTCAATGTAATGCGCACAGGATGCACATATACCGACAAGAGACTGATCAATTTAAATCTTAAACAACAATGAAAGGATACAAACAATGAATATCAAGTCAATTTAATCTTTATGATTGTACAAGAAAATCGATAAAGCTAGATTTAAATAAAAACGGAAGACACAACAGATGAAAATCTACTTCTAAATTCTTTTATTTTTTTTTACATATGTTCACTAGTGACTAGCTTCAGAAGGTATATTCTGAAGTCCTAGTGAGAAACAGTGACCAGTGGAGTTCAACCGGGTCTGTTGTGAGATAGTAACTCATCGATGACATTGGTGGATATGTCGCTCAATTTTGTGGATTAGTTGAAGTTAGACATTTACACCTTTGGGTACCGGCTCAGTGGTCTTGTGGTTAAGCGCTACCGCGCAAGACTGATAGGTCCTGGGTTCGAACCTCACGAGTCGAGTTCGTGGATGCGCACTGTTGAGGAGTCTCACAATAGTTCGAAAAGGCCGTCTACTGCTTCCAGGTTTTCCATGGTTGTCTAGCTTAAGTTGACTCATGATCTCAACTATTGAAATTACTATAATATCCACAAAACGTTCCTTCCGATTTTATTTTTACTCCTTACTGATACTAATATTTTGCAAGAGCAGTATCTAACAGTAATTAGTCAAGAAATTAACATCTAAACAAAGTTTACAAGACCGGTGTCAGGCAAGGTTACTTACTCTCACCATTTCTCTTTCTCTTGGTGATCGACTGGATCATGAAGACATCAACATCTGAAGGGAAGCACAGGATACAGTGAACATCTAGGGTGCAGTTAGACGATCTAGACTTCGCAGATGATCTGTCCCTTCTATCCCAAACGCAACAACAAATGCAGGAGAAGACGACCAGTGTAACAGCAGATCCGGCAGCAATAGGTCTCAATATACACAAAGGGAAGAGCAAGATTCTCCGATACAACACAGCATGCACCAATCCAATCACAATTGACGGAAAATGTTTGGAAAACGTAAAAACCTTTACATATCCGGGCAGCATCATTGATGAACATGGTGGATCTGATGCAGATGTGAAGGCGCGGATCGGTAAAGCAAGAGCAGCATATTTACAACTGAAGAACATCTGGAACTCAAAGCAACTGTCAACTAACACCAAGGTCAGGATTTTCAATGCAAAGGTCAGGACAGTTCTACTGTATGGGGCGGAAACTTGAAGAACTACGAAAGCAATCATTTAGAAAAACAGGTGTATATTAACAATTGTCTATGCGAAATACTTCCAATCCATTTGCCACACACTATCGGCAACAACCTACTATGGGGGAGAAAAAACCATATTTAGGTGGAGGAAGAGATCAGAAAGAAGCGTTGAAAGTGGATACGACCAACTACGCCTCAAGGGAAACCCTCACTTGGAATCCTCAAGGTCAGAGGAGAAGAGAAAGACCAAAGAAGACATTACGTCGGGAAATGGAGATAGACATGAGAAAAATGAACAAGAATTGGATGGAATTAGAAAAGAGTGCCTAGGCCAGGGTGGGTTGAAGAGTTCTGGTCGATGGCCTATGCTCCATTAGGAATAACAGGCGTAAGTCAATAAGTCAAGAAAATAACATCTAAACAAAATTTACAAGATTATCATGTTATTGTTATGCTTTACGTTGTGAATGGAATTTTATTTAGAATGACATATTATAGTACTTGGCTCAAAATCGTATGTAATGGCAAACGTGCATCCTTTCTTTGTGTGCTCTTAAATTCTAATCTTCTGAATACTTCATGTTTCTTTTTTTTCTTTTTCCAAATTTATTTCACTAAATTATACTCCTTGAATAACATCTTTGAATGCTAATCTTCCCGATTACTGCTTATACTATTACTACGTTTGTCACTATGGGATTTGAAACGACAACTGTATCTGTGTGGTAATGTGGTATGGCAATTTGAACTGATGTACGTATGTACGTACATACGAAGTTGCATGTTGTTGCTAACTGACTGACTGACTGATTATAGTACTTAAGAGATGAACTTTATCCTATGAAACTATGTGTAATAATTTTATTCCATTATTGTTTATTCATTTCATTTCTTCAAATACATTTTAGACTGAAATAATGACTGGAAGAATAGAAGTAGATTATGCTGTATCTAATTTGACTTTAGGTTTCTTTGAAGATTCAGGGTAAGATAATCTTTATAATGTAATATTCTTAAGTACTTTAGCTTACAGAGAAAAAAAATAGTTATTCGGTTTTTCACCAACCCTAGTAATATAATCTATAGTATGAATTACCTCAATAATCTTAGAGTACTTGTTTGTAATACCATAGATCCTCTGTTCAAAAAAGTTATTAAAACACAATTGATTTACTGTATTAACTTAGTGTAAAGTATAAACTTTATAAATAGATTACAAATATCTAAGTTCCAGGAACCGTATATAAAGTAACTAAGCAATCATTTCTGACTGATTCATTATATACTTCGAGAGAATTATAACTTTACAAATATACATATTGTATGTTATTTTCTTACCATAAATAGCTGATTGTTTGTTAGGAAATTTATTTGATTCTAAGGTAAGGATTGTATCATTTAAATGTGACATTCGCCACTGATCAGAATCTTAAAATCGTTTATGTTTCTAGTAAATGTAGATTGGGTTACAATCGGTTTGTTAAAAATGTCGTCATTTAAGCAAACGAATACTGCAAGTGATCATAAATATAATCAGTATCCATACTAAACATCTCAGTTCATATAGATGATTTTCTCAGCTACTTGGGTCAAAGAAAAATTTCTTCTTCACAACATATTCATCTGATAATGTTTATTTAATTGTCTAGTAATGAACAAATATTCATTTATAATAATATAACATTCTCAACAATATCAATACAAACAGACATAGTTTAAATTTCAGTGGTTAAGAAGATAAGTCAGTTGGATGCCTGCTGACTCAGTGATCTAGTGGTTAAGTGCTCGCGCGCGAAACCAATAGGTCCTAGGTTCGAATATCACAGGCGGCGGGATTTTGGGTGCGCACTGCTGAGGAGTCCCACAATAGGACGAAAAGGCCGTCCAGTGATTCCAGGTTTTTCATGTTGTTTCAGCTTCAACTGACTCATTATCTTAACCATTGAAATTACTATAATATCCACAAAACCCATCTGACATAGTTTTAAGTTAATATACTTTAATATAATTCAAAATAATTCATTTATTAAACACTGGAATAATTCAATGACTTTATCCTTTGTATATATCGATAAAGTATCGGTTGAGTCGGATTTCCGAGAACTGCAACAGAGCCTCCAGAGGCCCTAAAGGAGCCGAAGAGTCCCAGCCAATCAGAGCATGATGGAGCTTTCTAGAATATCAACGTGGCGTACTACTATTGGTCAGTAGCATAATATGTCTTATAGTGGATTGACCAAAATATAATGTTGATTTAACAAATGTTAACATCTATAAATACCCGTGTGTTTCTGTACAAAAATGAACTTTTGGAGCAAAGTGATTTCGGCTTATTTTGCGCCTTTTCTCTCGAGTTCAGGTCGCTGAGTAGTTCTAGCTTGCATGGTACTAGAATAGCTTAGGAACCGAATAAAGGATTCAAATTAACAAGACTTATCAGTATCTATGATAATTATGCCTTTTTCATTCTCAATAAATTTGGACAACAAATCTATGCCTATATTACATAATCAACAAAATATACTGGAAAAACTAATCTAATGTAAATATTCATAGTTGTGAATAGAACTCCACCTGGATTCCCTTCGTGGGCTACTGCCGGTCCCAAGCCCGTATAAAGGAGGAGGGTTGGGCATGGAGGTTAGCGACTCCATCCCGTAGAAAACTAACTCGTTAGAAAACCGCTAACCAGAATAAAACATACTAATTATAACAATTATAGGGTTATTATAAATATATAACAATTATGGTTATATTACATCGAGTTATTTTTGTTTAATTTATTAGATGGTACCTCGTTAATTATAGAAAAACTATGGTTTGGGAATATGGTAAAACATTAGGATGTGACTTTGCTGAAAAAAGTTGTTACGCATTTGCTGAAATTAAAAGACGAAAGTAAGTTTTAATAATTGAATGAATGATTCGATCTAAGCTAGACTAATATTAAAAGCCTAAAACAATTGGACAGCTATCTCGTTCTAGTATGCGACTCTTCAGCAATTACATCATCATTGTTTAAAAAAGCAAAATATGTACTCAGGAAACAGATGTATCAATATATTTATCATACTATTAAGTTCATATCTCGAAAATTGACCAAATATCAAAGTGATGTTATTCTATCAAAACCTGTTTTTTTTTAAACGGAAAAGCTGGCCATTTCATCCTAGAATGGGACTTCTCATTAGTGTGCGCTCAGGATCATGCACGCGCGGATTCGAACCCAAGAGCCCCAGTCCTACGGGCGAAAAATCAACTTCCAACGGTGTTAATGTCCAACTTCCATCGACCCATGAATGACTACGCAACCATTTATCTATTACCTGAAGTAAATAATTGTGTCCATTTGGCACTAGTCACGGCATCTCAATAAAATATGAGAACCATATATTAAATCGTTAATTTTCAAAATGTTCACCAATTGTCTCAAAATGCCTCAGACTTCATTGTCCTTGCATTTTCATACAGATTTCATTCTATTCTCACTCTTGCTTTCTTGATCTTCCCCCATCTTCTGTTGCCAGACATTACATTCCTGACTCGCGTCATATACTACTTATATCAATATAAGTAGTACACACTACAGTACGTTTATGATCTAATACCTCATACACAAAAGAGTTAGATGAATTCTATTGTACATTTACATACTTACTAAAACTTATGTTTCATTGTAAATTAGTTATAAATGATTTAAAAATACAACTTATTTTTCAAGGAACAAAACCATTCATCCATTCTGTGATAAAGTTAATTTAGTAACATGTCGGGATTTATATTCATATGGAATATGCCATATTATTAAATATAATCATGAAATTCCCCCTGAATATCGTTTTTTTAAAACTCCTCCATTTGAAACTTCATATGCAGCTAAATACATTGGAGGTGATGATCTATTTAAAGATTATTGTCCAACTCAAACTGTAAGTTTATTGTATTATTTCATTTTAAATATCATATTATTTCATGCAATTGGTTCCCTTTATGAATTTGAATAGAGCAAGAACAAACATTAATGCAGAATAGTATGAATTCATATTATTTCGAGGTTTCTCGTCAGCTGCTTACAAACCAAAAAATGTGATAGAATTTTTACATGGAGATAGTGTGAAAACGATTGACATAAATGAGTGTAAATAACTAGATTACAATAATAACTATATATATATATGCTAGAAACAGGTCAGAGGTCAAAAGAGGGGGGGTTAATCCAGGGTGGGTGGTGTAATAATTTAGTGAAGTTCATAAATTGTGTGATAATTGTAGAGATTAATGGAATGAAATAATGATAAGGTAGATTACGTAATAATAATTAAATAGAATTTGGAAAGTTAAGATATTATTATTATTATTATTAATGGCTTTATTCAATATTATATTTTGGTACAATATAGAATTCTCAGCACAGGGTATTTCAACAAGTTACTTACTGAGAAACGAACAAAAAGGCATTAGCAAATACAAAAAGAAATAATAAAAATTTTTTTTAAAAAAAAAATTTAAAAAAAAAAACCCCAAAAAAACCTGTGCACACTTTTTAAAATTAAAGACATGTTAAGAATGTAAGTTGTCGACTAGGTTAACTCTAACAACCTGTTCGTCACAGAGTATATTTGCTAGGTAAGGTATTATAGAACTTTTATACTTTTCCTTACGTGCATGGATTTTAATGTAATTACGTCTCGTTCTACCAGAAGATATACAAGGAGAAAGATAAGAGTGAAGGGGATGGCTAGTATCTGATAAAATAACACCTGCCAGGAGTTTGCATGATTTTAAATGTCTATCCACAACCATAATAATTATGACCTCGAAAGATTCACCACACATCTTGCTAACTGCCTTCAGCACTCTTCGCAATACAGCAAAGTCTTTTCTCAAAAGCCCGGGAAAGAATAATGGAGAACAGTAAAGAATAATAGGTAAAATGCAAGAATTGACAAATTGTAAGAGTAAATGACGAGTAATCCCAAGAGCATGCAATCTCTTTATGTAGTAGGTCAGACGGAAAACCTTCTTCGATAACGATAAAACGTGGGAAGACCAAGACAGATCAGAGGAAAAGGTAACACTAAGATAATTGACCTTCGACACTGTGCATATCAAAGAGTCTCCGATGGTACAAGCATTATGGGAACTCAAAATAGTGTTTATATTCCGTTCATGTCTCATGCTAAAGTTAACAGCTTGACATTTAGACGGATTAAGTATGAGACCATTACCAACAGACCAACAATCAATACGAGACAAAAACTCATTCATTTCTATGGGATGTAAAGAGGAAGATATAGGCATACATACAGTGAGATCATCCGCATACTTCACAAAAGTGTTTTCTGTGGAAGATGGCAGGTCATGCATAAAAAAAGAGAATAGAAGAGGTGAAAGAACAGCTCCTTGTGGTACACCTTCCTGAGACAGTAGAGACTTCGAACACTTTCCTCCAAACACAGTGTTCTGTTCCCTTCCAGAGAGGTAGGAACATAGCCAGTTGGTTATCCAGCTGTCAGTGTTGACGCTGATTAACTTGTTAAGTAAACGTTGTCTTGATATAGAGTCAAAAGCTGAAGTATAGTCCAGAAAAGCACAACGAACATACTTCTTACCCTTTTCTAAGTTGAACACTATGTTGTGGTGCAGAACTGCAACAGCATCTAAAGTGCTTCTTTTGCGCCTGTATGCAAACTGGTATGGGTCAGTATGCTCTTTTATCGCAAGCTGAAGTGGAAGTATTAATAATTTTTCCATGGTTTTGAGGAAGGGTGAAGTTATTGCAATAGGTCTAAATTTTACATTCTTATCACCAGATGCTTTCTTGGGTACAGGAATTATCTTCATCTTTCTCCACATTTTCGGTATGAGATTAGATGAGAAGGATCTGTTAAATATAGTTGTGAACGGATGACACAGAACGTCAGCACATTTTTTAAAAAGGATGTTTGGGATATCATCAGGTCCCAAACATCGAGATGAATCAAGCGACCGGAGACATCCTCGTACATCAGTTTTAGTGAAAGTAGGAACACAGCTATTTTTTAAACCCGTGGATAGAGGGAGCATCACATCAGATGACTGACGAACAAAAGAATTATTTAAGTCACAAACATTCAGCTGGTTATCGCTTCTAAACTGTCTGTCACCTGTAAGTTCTTTAAAGAGTTTCCACATACTTGGAGAGTTTTTGCAAGATAAGAGCTTTTGAGTAAACATACAGTTGAGACGTCTAATCTCTAGGTTTATCAGGCCAGTTAGCTTACGAACTTCATTAGAGTTCTTCTCCTTGTAAATTCTTTCTTTCATATTTCGTAGTCGTTTTAGTTGTGTAGATGTAAATCGATCAAAACTTACAAAAATGGTTTCAGTGGGACAGCAAATATCAAAACAGAATTTAAGGTAACAAGTGATAACATCAGTAGTGTTTTCGAGTGAGTCATCTGTAAATAATTCCCAGTTAGTCGTATGAAACATGCTTTTCAGATTTTGGATATTTTCTTCTGAGTAATTCCTATATTTGACTTTCTTGGTTTGACGTAAGAGTGTACTCTTCTCATGCTTTCCATATACTTTAGGTAGAACACGAATTATACAGTGATCTGAGCTAGACAATGGAGCACGTTTACGAGTCGCATATATACCCACATCATTAATGAAGACAAAGTCTAGATAAGCATCCAAACGGGTAGGAAAATCCACTACATTTTGGTGACCTAGTGACGTAAGGAAGCTACAGTCACATGAATTGAAGTCACCACATACAACTGAAAGTGAATCACTGAAGGCAGTAAGAGCGAACTCAGTGAATTCATCAGCAAAAACAGATAGTGCAGATGATGTGCAATCTGGAGTCACGTAGATATTGGTAACATAAACATATTTGTATTTATTTAGATGTTTTGGACGACATCTTAGAATTAGACAGTCGATAAAGTCATTTGAAAACTTAAAACACACAAACGAAGATCGACACCAGTTTATGTTTACAAACGTAGCTACACCGCCACCACACCTCTTTTTGTTGTTCGATCGATCCTGACGATAAATTTTAAAATCACGTAGTGATACAAGGCAGTCATACTGTAAATCATTCAACCAAGTTTCTTGAATTGTGATGACTTCACAATTACGATACGTATTTTGACTAAGTAGAAATTGCAGATAGTCCACTTTGTTGATTAATGATCGGCAGTTAGAATTAAGCAGCTCGGGAATTGGCATACGATTAATGTTCATTCTCTTTAATGAATATTGCCAACCACCACGATGCCTTTTATAGTACTTTTTAGTAACTTGTGCAGCGAAAGGTCGTAGGCTTTTCATAAAAGCGCCTGAATAGGTTATGCGATTAATGGACATAATTATAAATTAAAACAAATAAAAAACAGATAACTTGTTGAAATAATCAGATGGCAGAAATCGGTAGCCCAGATATTCAAGCAGGCCGCCTATAATTTAGGAGGATCAGGTGGTGGAAATGTGTGAATAAAATTTATTTTAAAAATTAGGTAATAGGGGGGGAGTATAAAATATCTTAGAATAAGTAAATGAAAAAATAACCAAAACACAAAACAAACAGAAACAAAAAGATTGTTTTGTGTTTTGGTTATTTTTTCATTTACTTATTCTAAGATATTTTATACTCCCCCCCTATTACCTAATTCTTAAAATAAATTTTATTCACACATTTTCACCATCTGATCCTCTTAAATTATCTTAACTTTCCAAATTCTATTTAATTATTATTACGTAATCTACCTTATCATTATTTAATTCCATTAATCTCTACAATTATCACACAATTTATGAACTTCACTAAATTATTACACCACCCACCCTGGATTAACCCCCTCGCTCTTTTGACCTCTGACCTGTTTCTAGCATATAAATATAGTTATTATTGTAATCCAGTTATTTACACTCATTTATGTCAAATGTTTTCACACTATCTCCATGTAACACAAATTCTATCACAATTTTGGTTTGTAAGCAGCTGACGAGAAACCTCGAAATAATATGAATTCATACTATTTTGCATCAATGTTTGTTCTTGCTCTATTCAAATATTATATTAATTGAATTCATGAGTCAGCTAGACAACCATGGAAAACCTAGAAGCACTGGACAGCCAACACGTCCTAGTATGGGACCCAGGACCTACCGGTCTCGCGTGCTATTCCTTAACTTCTAGACCACTGAGACGGCATCCAACGATGTTAATGTCTAACTTCAACCAATTCACGAGATCTCACCACCGTCCACCATAGTCATCATTGGGTAACTATCTCACAACAGACACGGTTGAATTGCACTGGTCATGGTTTCTCACTGAATGATACAATAACTGATATTCTTGTGAATATATATGATATAAATCTATGTTCCTATAAGATTTCATGAATTCATCTAACATTTAGATATTGGTTTGCCGAAATTGAATATTCCAGTTTTTGTTTATAGTGAATAACCAATCATTCATACTTTTAAAAAGAAACTGTTGAACAATATTGATCTGCCAGAAGATTTTCAACGTGTTTCGTTTTTTAAATTTTTACTGATATATCTGTACAATCCTACCTTTCATTGGAAAATTATAACGGTATTGAACAATAAGTATCATTATCAAAGTCTGACTTGATAATTTCAATAGTTGAGATCATGAATCAGTTGAAGCTAGAGCATGGTTAGAAAACTAGAAGCATCGGAGGACCATTTTGTCCCATTGTGAGACTCTTCAGTAGTGCGCATCAATGACCCCACCTCGCGAGATTCGAACCCACGACCTATATATATATATATATATATATATATATATATATATATATATATATATATATAATATTTGTAATATGTAAATGAGTAGAAAAATTAAATTTTCTGATGTTTCGTGACTAAGCGTAAGTCACTTCTTCAGAGAAAAAACAAATAACCAAATCAAAATTAATCCATGTTTAAATAGTACAAAGGAAGAACATAAGAATATTATGTGCGATCAATAAAAAAGACAGGTCTGAACATGTGTTGAACAATGTTCATTAAACAGATAGAATTGAGTAAGAGAAATGACTGTATAATTCATTATTAGTAGTTCAATAATCTACAAGGTTTTATAGATCTCTCAAATAGATGCTTATCAACTGTTTTTGAAACATAGATCTATTTAATGTGAAAGAAGTCAAGTCATTCTAGAAAATGATGACAATGGTAAGTATAAATCAATGATTATAAAATACTCCAAATTATATGTTCATAGTAACTATTGAAAGATTCCACACAAGTTTGTTTAGAACTTCTCAATTCACCTCTATACTAAATTAAGTTAAAATTGTTAACTTAATGTTTTTCTATTTTATGTAAACTATCGTGTTAGTTCGTTATGAGTTCGATGAACGACAGAACAACTTCATTTTGTACACATCGTGAAAACGCAGAAATAACACGTGAGTATAGAGCTATCTCGTTATGTGATATGCTTTTATTCTTGATGTTAATCAGTTTTTAAGTTGAACTACATTACTTTGACCATTGAATATGAATCATTTATCACTTGAAATTGAAGAATATTGTTTTATAGGTCAGACCATAATTTATGAACGAACTAATCAGGTAAAAGATAACAGGTCTTAGATTTTGGCGTCAAATTCACTCATTCATTTGAGACAATACAATTTTAACATTATAGATGATGTCAATTCGTGATGAAAACCTCAAATCTAATTCCTAATCTTGACAATCAACTATAAATCATCATTCTAATTTCTCATACAGGTTTATAATCTTCATCTGGACTCAGCTTTGAAACGGATCATCTCAAGGTCACTTGAGCGTCATTCAAAGGTCGTCCATGAATGTTAGTCTCTCTAAAATTTTTGAAATATTCTCTTCACAGAAAGAATAAATATCAAAACTATGTACAATCGGTTTCCACCAATTCATAGTTGAAGGGGTTTAGATTAGTTTACAACTATTGATCATCATCATCATCATCATCATCATCATCATCATCATCATCATCATCATCATCATCATCATCATCATCATCATCATCATCATCATCATCATCATCATCATCATCATCATCATCATCATCATCATCATCATCATCATCATCATCATCATCATCATCATCATCATCATCATCATCATCATCATCATCATCATCATCATCATCATCATCATCATCATCATCATCATCATCATCATCATCATCATCATCATCATCATCATCATCATCATCATCATCATCATCATCATCATCATCATCATCATCATCATCATCATCATCATCATCATCATCATCATCATCATCATCATCATCATCATCATCATCATCATCATCATCATCATCATCATCATCATCATCATCATCATCATCATCATCATCATCATCATCATCATCATCATCATCATCATCATCATCATCATCATCATCATCATCATCATCATCATCATCATCATCATCATCATCATCATCATCATCATCATCATCATCATCATCATCATCATCATCATCATCATCATCATCATCATCATCATCATCATCATCATCATCATCATCATCATCATCATCATCATCATCATTTAGGTTTTTTGTTCACAGAATACAATATCCAATGTTCTGTGTTTGTGAACATAGATTTACTAATATTTTTGTTTATTTTACTACAAATTCAGAATGTTTTTAGATACCTTTTGAACTTTATTTCAATATCAGATGGTGTTAATCGTTTATACGAAACATATGGAACAAAGGCACTTTGTACAGAACATCGAGGTACTTGGATTTATAAGGATCATTATGAAGAGGAAATAAGTAGTAATGTGAAAGCAAGTTGTCATAAGGTAAGTTTAAGTCTCTTTGTCTTACATTTTTTCTGGCTACTAATATGTGACCTATTCTCCCACGTGAGGGGTAACAGGAGGAAGTTGGTAATTGAGTACGTAAGCAATTAGGTGAGCAAGTAAGTAAGTGAGTAATTATGTAAGTAAATAAGTAAGTAAGTGAGTGAGTGAGTAAATAAATAAATAAACAAATAAATAAATAAGTAAGTAAGTAAGTAAGTAAGTAAGTAAGTGACTGAGTGAGTGAACAATTAAGCAAATAAGTAAGTGAGTGAGTGAGTAAGTAAGTAAGCAAGCAGGTGAGTGAGTGAGTTATCAAGTAATTAATTAATTAATTAATTAATTAAGTAAGTAAGATATGTCATAATATAATATGAAACATGACGTTTATGATTCTAAAAATCCTGTGCACATTAGTTATATGTTGGTTAATTCATATCTGAACAGTACATTATTTAATACAATAAAACCGGTTTTATTAATCAAAAGTCAAAGATTTTATCAAAACACTGAATTAAACCCTGTTTTGAGGGGACTATTTGAATCAAACTAAAACACATAGGACTTCAAAAGTCTTAACAAAATTTTGGGAGTAGAAAGCAATACATACACTTCAAGTAAAATTTTCTTTATAATAACAATATGGTGAAACTATAATGTATGAACGAACTAATTAGATATAAGATAACAGATCTTGGATTTTGGCGCGAATTTCATATATTTATTCGACTTTATAGCGTTTTGGGAATTAAGCTGATAATATTTCGTAATGAAAACCACTACACTAAATTCTTAAGTTAACGATCAACCATAAATCATAACAGGAGCTTTTTTGTGGATATTATAGTAATTTCATTAGTTGAGATCGTGAGTCAACTGAAACTAGACCATCATGGAAAATCTGGAAGCACTAAATGGCCGTTTCGTACTATCGTGAGACTCCTCAGCAGTGCGCATCAATGATTGGGAACCGCAAGATTCGAACCCAGGACCTATCAATCTCGCGTGGTTCATAACTCTGTTTAGTCCCAAAGTCACTCTAGCATCATTCAGACTTCGTCCATAAATTATAGTCTCACCATGAATATAATAGTAATTATTCATAACTGGCGTTATTTTATGTCATTCTAGGATTATGTTGAAGATTTATTAATATCTTTGACTTTTTTTTACAGTATGTATGTCACCCGAACAGAACACTTAGTTTTTATTTCAAAAATGCAATTGTCTATTGTCCTAAAAAAGGTGAAGTACATTTTAAAGTAACTGATGGAAGAACTTGGCTTCAAGGTACTGTATTTTGTCCTAATGTCAAGAAATTCTGTAAGGTATGCATCATATGTACATATTTGTTTTACTTTGAAATGAAACACTTTCATTTGCATTAATGTACATGTATAAAGTTAGATAGATTTGACAATATGTCATAACTAAATATAAAGTTGTCTATAAATATTGTAGAGAAGCTGTAAGTTAGTAGATCATTTCGGCATGATTTGTAAAGATTATTATTCCAATCTTGATAAATGAAGTTCCTTGATAATTTTGCTTGTATATTTGAGTTGAATCATCGTTGAGCCATATATATGATAAATTCATTGAAATAGCTAATCAGATTTTCTTAATAAATCTGTAGTGTCTGTGATTCAACATCTGTCAAGGAATTATTTAATTCAGTCATAGTAGTTAGAATCAGTTGGTCAATATTTTGAGACTTCAGTGAATATTTAGCTTATTTATAGTAAGATACTATATCGTAAACAGTTACTTGATACCAATTAGTTTTGAATGGATCGTTATATCAATCTATTCTCTCATGAAACATTAAGTTTCATTAGACAGATGCTTACAATTTGTGGTTAAATGTCAGTATACTCACTTTGAAATTTTGTTCCTGGAAGACCATTTCAATTATATTATTTATCTACTTATTTTAACACAGATATTGGTACAAAGAGGCACCAAATATATATGCGCCACATAGATCTCATTTGATTTGTGTGAGGGCTGTGATAATGCTCGGGTACTCAAACCGAAACAGGTGGTTTTTTAAGGAGTCCACACTTGGAACCTTCGACCTAAAGGTCTGATCCACAAGGCAGTGGAGCATCGTAAGTAGATGCAGTCTCATGGTAGCCGGCGACCAACGATTGGTTCATATGCCATTTGTTCTTTCAGGAAACTGGAACCCATATGTACCTTTGTTTTGGAATGAGGGTTTTCCAACTCTCCTAGGTGGACTCTCTATGTCCACCAACCCGGTTAAAACACAGGACATTTGCTTTTCGTCCTCTCAACTTTGTGAACAACACAACCGCCACGAGTAGGACTTTCCTGTCAGAGGCTTTATACGCGTGGCCATGTGAGAACATTTGGAGAGGAAGAGCGGACTCTCCCCACTCTCGGCCGTACCAGGGCATTTTAAGGCCTCAAAGATTTACTAATAGTTTAACACATTTTAAGAAAAAAATACAGATAGTTGATTGAAAAACGTCTTTATGAAAATCATAATATACAGAGTTTATTAAAAGACAACCTTACAGATGGATGATTTGTTTTGAAAAGAGGAATGTAATTCTTTATATGCGTAACAGAGTTATCTTTCAATTTATAAAGACAACGTTGCTAAGCAGGCTATTTGGGTTTTTTTTCTTCAGTGAAATACATTATTTTAATCTAATGGTTAGAGGTAGTCAATCCTGTACTTAAAGTTTTTTCCTGTTACCTGGTAATCCTGAGCAATGTGTACTTGTCATGTTGAAGGAAATAAGTCTCCCTGACGGATTCAATTCCATGTCATCCAGCTTCACAGTCAAAAACGTTATCACTGAGCTATCCAGGACGTGACTGACTTCATGTAGGACAGAGATGTATTTACACATGATTGATCACTGAGTGATATTCAACGTCATGTATGTCAGGTAATTCGTAGTGCATATCGGATTCTATCAACCAAGTTGTAATGTGGCCACTAGTCTAGATGACTCGACATTGCGTACACCATCTTATATCAACATAATGCACGCAATGTGATCACATTTTAACTTGACCAATATTGATTAGCACCTAGTAATCAATCAAGTTTAAGTTATTTTACGTATCGGAGAACAGTTTTTACACTCTTACTGATAAATATATAACATTTGGCACTGTGAACTTGTTTAAAGTTTTAATAATCAGTGACAGTTTTCTCTATTCTTGTTTTCAGTGATTCTGCTTACATGATACAGTTACATTGTGCAAATATCTTTACAATCAAACTGTTGTGTTATTGAACTCATTTCATTTGTATAGAATAATATTCGATTACTAATTAATTGTTGACATTTCTGATCTTATTAATTAGTTATGAAACTTTAAATAGTCGTCACTAATCATTTCCAACTTAAGCGAAATCTTTGTCGATTACAGAAAAGACAATGTAAATAGGATATAGTGTGGAGCAAATATCGTTATATGCAAAACAGTATTCATATTTATGGTTGGGAAAATAGTGGATACGAATATTTTCAATAAATACTGATGAGTTTAACTTAATTCTAGAAAATACAAATAAAATGTAATACTGTAGTGTGAGCTACTTATATCCACAAAAGTAGCATTAAACGATAGTTCAAAATAAAATGTATTTCAGTATAAGATCGTAAAGGAAAGAACGAGAACGGAAAGTGATTGGTATGAAAATGCAGGAACAACGAAACTTGAGACTGATGTTTACAAAAGGAACAGTCAAGTTGGGGACAGTTGATTGCGTTTTTGGAAATTTAGTATTAAATGTATGGTCCTCAGATTTTACGACGATGTTCTGTAATTTTGTGTTCAAATACATTCGAGTGTCCTCATTTGTGTACTCATTCACTTTAATAAGATTTCAAAGTAATAATTGGAGTTTTAATAAAATACCACACCAGAATAAAGGTAATAATATTTCACTGGTCTAGAGCCAGTGTGCTTCATAATTTAGAATCACGAGCAAACTTTGTTGGTTTGTTTCGGAATCCTACTTTTCATCTATAGTTTTTCTTAATAAAACTGAAGTTTCCTTTATTAGAACTGGTTTGTCAACAATTTGCGACTTCAGTCAATACTTAAATTATTTAGAGTACGATACTATATCGAAAACGGTTACTTGAAACCAGCTGGTTTTGAATGGATCGTTGTATCAATCTATTCTTCCATGAAACATTACGTTTCTATAGACAGATACCCAAAATCATTGAAGGAACAGGGTCCTATAGGCTGTAAAATAAGTTTTTTAAAGGGTTCAAAAGACTTCCTGACACAATGGCTTTTAAATACTTCAATCTAATAGACATTTATCATGTTATTCATGGTAATGAGATTTACAGTTGGCGAAATGCAAATTTACTTTTCAATGTAACATAAAGATTCAATAAGAACTCATAAAATGAATTTTTGTGATATCATACTGTTCATTATTGAAATATACATCAAAGAGTCACAAATTACATGACTTTAAAAAGCAAACATTCAAGAGATACTACTTTTAGTACACTGAACGCTTTATTTACTGACTTATTTGCTTACTGTAAGGAGTTTTAATGGAAAGAACAAGAGTGGAAATATACAAATGATATTTCTAAAGTTTGCTGAAAGTATTTCAATACAGAGATTGAAATTAATGTTTGACAGAGTAAATTGAATAGAAATGTTTCACTTTAATAAACAACTTGATACGAATCAATTGCACGTACATTACTTTGTCAGTAGCATGTAAAATGCTATGATGTTATCGTATGGCAGATCTGTAGTGACTGACCTTTTGTCGAGACCATATAGGTTACTCCAGTTTCTGGATAGACAAATTTATTCATTCTTCCTGAGTCACATTTTGACCTTGTTAATTATTAGTTTCGTCTTTTTACCTTTACCTTGCTTCAATTCGATTTGGCAATAAATATTGAGTAATGTTTGATTAAAGTCAGTTGGCAGTCATGCCTTCATTAATTTCTTTTCGCTTTGTTATATACTGTTCGCTT